GCCTTTTTAAAAACATAATTTTTGTATATACCATGTTCAAGAAAGTCACCTATCATAAAAAAAAAATAAATAAGTATTTAAAGCACATTAAGCATCTGATAAACTTTAAAATACCCCGGTAAGTTGAGTGCAAAAAGAATGCCAAAAGATATAATTCTAAATCAAATTCTTTCCATCATTTATTATAAATCGCAATGCAATCACGCTGAAACTGGCTATTATATATAACTGAAATTTCTTGAATTGATATAGCCATTTTTACTAGCTCAACAAATATGTTTGCTAACAAAGTAGTTCGAAACTCTAAGCTTTTTACGGCCCGTTTCACTGGCCCAAGAATATTTCGCAATTGCTCAATGTCGATCCAGAACTGACGATCATTAATTAAATTTTTTACTGCATTCGCACGATTAAAAGCTTGAAGTTCTTGTTCTAAAACCTATTAAAATAGATCATATAACAAAAAATGATAATCAAGCCATGAATGCAATTTGTAATTAAATATAATTATCTAATGAATGTGAACAACATGCTGGCAAAATCAAACCCCTCACTCCAAAAAAAAAAATTAATAAGGCTGCACAAACTTATATAATCGTTTTCATATCAGCATATTATATTCAAAGTTCTTATATCGCACTATAATAATCTATTAACAATTAATTTATCGAATAATTGTAATAAGTGCACTTATATTATCTGATAACTTGAGAATTTTCTCTACTGTGTTGATATATTATCTTCAACGAGTTATTTAAATATAAAAAAAATTCACTTTTGGATATTAGAAAGATCATCATTCTAACATTATTTATAAAGTTCAATATATTGAAATGATAAATCCTCTATAGGTAGTTCTTTTTCTTTAGAATACATACCCAATTATTACAGTTATTATTGGTCTAAAAAATTAGAATAGTGGTTACCCATGCTTGAGAATTGCTCCAAAGTTAGAAATACCATCATGCAGTTTTGTTAAGCCCTTATACTTAGTAAAGAAAATGCAGATTGATAATGAATTGTATAATAAAATGAAATGTACAAAGGAAGAATGAAAATAATTTTCGAGCTGGTTATGTAATCATATGATTGTAAATAATGACGATTTTATTAAGAGTTTATTATATTAAAATGTAAAATAGAAAAGTATAAATGATAGCAAAATTAATAGAAATA